CCTTCCCAGTGATTGTGTCCATACAAGAAGTACACTTTTCCTCTTGCTTATTTGAAGGCCTGCCCAAGGGAAGCATCTCTGCGATCTAAAAGCTGCCTGGACTTTGGTGGATTTTATTTGCTAGCAAAGAGTTTGTCTTGGTGGCATGTTTGTGTCTTGAGAGGTGGCTTGCTTGTTGCGATGATCCTTAGAGGCCTCGTCGAGCCCGTGTCCCTTCGTGATTTGGGATCAGGAGCATGGGTTTTTCTTGTGCCATATCCTCACCTACAGCGTTTTGCTGTTTGCTCCTGTGGGGGAAATCTAGCAATGTAGGAGAAATCAATTTCAGTTTGGTTTTGGTGTGCTTTCACCCAATTTACCCCTTCTGGATGGAATGTGGACTTGGATGTAGTCTTGCAATTGAAGTCTGAATGTTTTGATCTTTGATTTGTGGACAAAACCAATATTTGGTCAACAGCATATATACTTTTGTAATCTATGCTTGCAAAACTGAGCACCTTTGAACAATGAGCACAATTACGCTTCAGTCAGCTGGAAGAGGATGCACACAACACAAGTATACATTTGGGGAAATAAACACAGATTTTCATCTTCACAGAGGTGGTTGAAGCCCCAACGGTGAGGATGTTCAAGGATAGGCTGGACATGCACATGGTAGCTATGTCCTGAGCGGAGCTGGCTGGAGCCGGGGGTCAGACTAGATGGCCCAGGAGACCCCTTCTGACTCACCCTTGTTTCTGTGTTTCATGCAACAAAAAACCCCCACAGGTCACAATCCTATAGCAGCTCACGTCACAGCATGTTTCAGGATGGAATTTGGAGATCTTTGGCAGGCTGCAGAAGGGTCTGGAATACTTTCCCACCAGGAAGTCAGGCCCTGTAGCAGGAAGCAGCTGGAAAAACTGGAACAGGGTAGGAAGTTTCCCCTCCAGACCTGCTGCTTCAGGAAGGTAGGAGTCTGCAAACTTCTTGCAGTGGACTCCACCAGGTCTGTGGCAGGTGGTGCCATGTGGGAGCAAGCCGTCACCCACGGTGGTCTCCAGCACTCATTGTGTGACCCCCACAAGCCATGATCTTGTTCTTCATCTTTACCATGGAGGGAGTGACAGCATCTCTGAGGAAGAGGCGATCTGCTGAGCAGCAGCCGCATCTTATACAAGCCTGATGGCCCCATCTGTGTTGCAAAGCAACCCTCGGAGGTAGGGTAGCCACTAGCCTGTTGCCCAAAGAGAGGAGCAGTCTCACTAGAAAAGAGGAGCCCAATTTCTGTACTGTTCGCATATGATTGATTGATTGATTGATATCCTGCCTTTTTCCTACAAAGGGCTCAAGGCAGCTTACATCTCCTCCTCTATCTTATCCCCACAACAACCCTGTGAGGTAGATTGGGCTGAGAGTCTGTGACTGGCCCAGAGTCACCCAGTTGGTTCCATGGCCGAGCAGGGACTAGAACCCAGATCGTCTGAGTCCCAGTCCCACGCTCTTAACCACTACACCACACTGGCTCTCATATGGACGTGCATTTTTATGAGTGCAATTTTAGACGCAATAACTATAATTTAGATAGAAATAGTATAGCTCACGGTGATGGCGAAGACTGACGGGGTGCCCTGCTTGCTGGCCAGGACTGCCCCCCAGGTGTGAACTTCGGAAGGGCGACTGGAGGGTACCTGCTCGTTCTCTTTCACTGTGGTTTTTTTGTTGTGGTGCACAGCTGCATTGGACAGCTCTTGAAATTGAAGGAACCTGCAAAGGGGAGCTGCACTTGGGCTGGTCAACACTTCACATAGGAGACCCCTCCAATAGAGGACCATTCCCTGCCAGTTTTCCAAAATACAGGGCTTCAGAATAAGAAGGTCGGCCACCCTCCTTGGCAGATGGCGCTTTCTGCAGCAAGGAGTAGTGGGCAGACACCTCGCCCTTCCCCTGAAAGAGCAGCTCTGCTTCTCTCACCGCTGCCGGGTTCAGACTCAGTATTTATTTATAAAATCAGCGCAGAACCTTACGCGGCTGGTGAAACGGCTCTGTCTTTGCGTGGGAGGAAAGCAGCTAACGGGGAAGGGGCACGTCTTCTCCCCACCCACCCCCATCGAAAAACCCACTCCTCTCCCAAGGCACTCTGCAGGATTCGGAAACAAAAGAATTCCCCACTTTCATCCAGGTTCCAAAAAGAAAATTCAATGCATTCTTCTGCCTCCTGCGGTGCCGTCTCGATTTGTGCAAGCTGGGTAGGAAGTGCCACTCAAGGCTTTTGGACGCGGGCCAGTGTTTCGCTTTGTTTTAAGTAGACTTTTGTAATTACTGAACCACAGTCAGGAGGGAAAGCAAACATAATCTGCTTGCCGGCAGAGACACAGAGAGCGGTGGGACCAGAACTCCCGTCGAACGCTGAACCCTCCTGGCGGTGGTGCTAAATGTGGGCAAGTGGAAAGGTGGCCCATCCCAGCAAGCAGTTAGCAGATGGGTGCCGCTTGGCCAGACAGTCTCTTAATTGCTGCATCATGGAACATGCAGTACTTTTCCCGGCAGGGGTAGAACGGTCTGAAGTCTCTGTACAGCATCTCTTGCCAGTAGCTGGCCCATGCTTGGTCACGGCACTCGTGTCTTAAATTTTATGCCCAAACCAAACTGAGTTGAAACCTCTCTGTTCAGTGATGAATAGAATCAGGAGTGCTGTGTAAGACGGTCATTTGTTGCCGCATGTGTTAACTGAAAAATAACCCTCAGTAGTGCTGCGGCTAACAAATTAAGTACTCCCATTTGGAACATAGAAACGTAGAGACTGAATGAGTCAGAAGGGGCCTCCCAGGCCACCTAGTCCGACCTGGCTCCAGCCGGCTCGGTCATGACTTGTCTTGTACGGATCCCCATCTTTTCCTTAATCTGCTTCATTTTTGAGAAGAAATCTACACATTTTGCCACCTTCTCTTCTCTACTCCTACCTGAACATCTTTCTGTTGTGTCCCTCTTGTATTCCAGCAGTTTGCTTTCTTATGTTACTATAACTAAATGAAGCTCAAAAGCTAGCGAGTTTTTCTTGGAAATATTTTCTTGGTGAAGCATCTGGCAAACCTTATATTAGAGGAATTAGATGTGGCAAGACTGCTTGAGCTGTCTTAATCCCCGGCACTAGTTTACTGCTGTGTCTTGAGATTAAGCCAATCATTTCAGGTCATGAAAGCAAGACTGCTAATTAATGATTTTGCTGGCTTTCTAGGGTGTGATGTTTCGTTCCCAGTTTCATCCCGCACCCAAAGCCCATGTGTAGGTGGTTCAGACTGTCTGGTAGGCAGTCCCTCGAGCTTCTGCATGTTTGAAGTTCTGTTGCTCAGTGCATGTTCTTGGGAGACCTGCCTAAGCCCAGTGGCCAACTGGTGTGCAGCACAAGATAAAGGTGATTGTCTTCTCTTGCTTGGCCACAGCATCTTAGAGGTATCCTGACTCTTGAGTATGGATGCTGCGTTTAGCTGTCCTGCCTGATAGACCTGATTGTTGGTCATCTTCCATGAGTTAGACCCGTCTGCCTTCCTCTTAAATCCAGTTGGGCTGGAGGCTGGGCCTCAGCACCTCTTGCAATGACAAGCGCTGTATACTAAACAGGCACTCATTTGGACGAGTGGGACAGTGTTAAATGCAGCCTTGCCACTAAGCTACATAATTGGTCAAAACACGTTTAAGATTTGGCCAGAAGAGAACCAACCTTGAAAAGGCCATGCTTATTTTCATAGGTGAGCCTTCCTGTGGGAGTATCTGTACCCCAGAAAACAGCATTGCATTTTGCTCTTCTTCTGTCTGATCCTCACAGTGACATTGGATGAAGGACCTAGAGTCAGACAAAAGGAAGTTCGTGTTGTCCAGCTGGGGGAGAGCCAGTGTGGCGTAGTGGTTAAGAGTGTGGGACTGGGACTCAGAGGATCTGGGTTCTAGTCCCCACTCAGCCATGGAGCCAACTGGGTGACTTTGGGCCAGTCACAGACTCTCAGCCCAACCTACCTCACAGGGTTGTTGTTGTGGGGATCAGATGGAGGAGGAGAGATGATGTAAGCTGCCTTGAGCTCTTTGTAGGAAAAAGGCAGGATATAAATCTCAATATAAATAAATAAATAAATAAATAAATAAATAAATAAATAAATAAATCTACTCACTGGCTTCCTCTCGGCTCAGCTTGCTTCGGAGGGCCAGGCGGAGTGCAAGAGGGAGCCCGCGAGTGCTTGGAGGGATGGGTTTCCATAGGGTTCACCCCGCCCTGTGCTGTGCCTGCTTACCCCTAGCTCCGTCGTGGGAAGAACCCATCGCTCAGTGGTCGAGGATGGTATTTAGTGGAACTGGGATCCGTTCAGCAAAACGAATCAGCAGGCCGTTGATGTGAGAAGGCGTCTGCCTAAAGACCTGGAGGAGATGCTCGCGGTCACAAAGGGTTGAGAATGCTGGATGAGGTGTGCTCATGGTTTGCTGAGGTGGCTCCCTGTGACTGCGCTGCATCAGTCATTCTTTTGCAACGCACTTCAAGCTGGCTGGTCCCAGATGTGCTGGGTTACAAGTTCCATCATTCCCCAACCAGACTTTTGGTGCAAGGATGGTGGGACTTGTAGTGCAGCACATCTGGAGGGCAACCAACCAGGCTGAGGAAGGGTGCTCCGTTTCAGAGTATTTCCTTGAACCTTTTTCAGAGCTGAAACAAGGTTCTTTTTCAAAGTTTCTAGCCTTCTTGACTTGATGAAGAGATTTGGAAAGATGGGCTTGTGGACGACATCAGTCGCATAACCTGGCTTTCTCTTGGTGTCTTTGTTTTCCAAAATAGAGGTTAATAGCTGGATATTCCTTTGACCCTGCCCCCCCTCTGAGAATGTAATGGCTACCTGCTTGAGGAAGAAAGCAGCCCACAGAGAACAAAATAGCCATTTTGATCTGTCTGCGAAACCAGCCCGAGAAAGCTTTGCTTCGGTTCCTTGAGATGTGTAGTGAGGAGCGTGGAATAAAGAGAAACTTTCTTGTTGCAGGTTACCTTAAATGTGATACAGACGATGGCTGCGAGAACAAAGAAGAAGTGGGAGGAGAAGAACTCTTTGACACTGTAAATTCCTCCATCGTTTCCGGGGACAGCATCCGGTTCTTTGTGAATGTCAACTTGGATGTCCAGCAGAACGTTACTGGTAAGGAAGCTGCCGGCTTCTTGGCTGGAGTCAGTCGCGTGGCAGCTGTCCTGCGAAGTCCGTCCTGTTTGCAGTGTTGGGTCAGTATTTGGCCCATAGAATGCACAAGAACTGGGGTGCCGAACCTCAGGGCCGTGGGCCAGTTCAGCCTGTTTGGGGTCCCCATGCAGCCCTCTGAGCTTCCCTCTTTCCCATAGCTATCCAGTGGCTCCCATATTTTTCTGCTGACTACTGATGGTTTCCCGGCCTTTCCACCCCACCGTCCACATTCTAAATTTCAGAAGCTTCCTGCTTCTTGAGCAGTAAAAGCTTTCAGCTGAGATTAACTTTCATTCATTTCAGTTTGGCTCCACTCATCACTGGAGTCTAGCCCCCAAGGGCCTCTCTGAAATGGGATTTGATCCCTGGGCTGAAAGAGTTTGAACACCCCTGATGCTGAGAACTTGATTGGTTGATCAGGAGCAGCAGGTGTTGGTTCTAAGTAGGATGTTTGTCTCTCTCTCTCTCAATGTGCTTTCCCCTTTCCATCGCACTCGAATAGGACCTGACCCTTCCTCCTTAGACCTGCATTCTGTGTCAGCTAGCCCAAACAGACAGCCCCTTTAGGATAAAACAATTTCTCTTGCCAGCCCATCTTTTCTCAGGTGATGTTTTGCAAGCAGTTAAGTCTTCACATAGGGAGCTTGGTAAAATCTGGGGAGAAATGGATTAGCTGGGTAACGTTAAGACGTTTCGGAGCTTCTCCCTCTGCTTGTCAGAAGTGTCAAGTATTGCATGGGTGTCTGTCTGACTCTGGAAGTTGGTTTTGAAAACAAAAGCTGTTTACATTGCAACAGGGCTGCTAGGAGCAGTGGTTCCATTAGAATTTGGGAGTGTGTATGCACACAAAAACACACACAATACAGTTTAGAACAGTACACTTGATCTTGTAAATAGCCGTACCAAACACAGGTGCAGCAGAGGCACAGAACTGGCTGGAGTTGTTTCTACGTTACGTCATTTTCTCATAACTCACCGCCTTTGTGCACCTGCATCTGTGCACCTGCTGGCTGTGTGAGTGTAAGGACAGGTGCCTGAACCTCTGGGAATGCGGGTTTGAGGTCTCCCAGCCCGAGGTGAGGTGAACCGGAAATGAGCGAAAAGGTCCGTGTGTTGGGGGTGGCTGGTGCCGAAATGCTGCGTGGGTGGAGATGGCTTGGAAAGGGGCAGGTGCTCATCTGGCGACGTCCTCGGGTGCCCCTAAAGGTGAAACAGGAAGCACTGTTCCCTCCTGCAAAAGAAATCTTGGCTCTGCATGGATGCATTCTGAGGAACCAAGTCCGGCATCTTGATTCCTTGGACAAGTCACATGGCCCTGGCCATTGGCAAAATTGTGTGTTCCCCTGCCCTGCGCCAACATGTTGTGCACAGAAATGACCCCTTAGGGCTCAGAACTGGCCCCGTGAATTGTCTCTGTGTTCTCCTTTGTCTTCATCCTCTGCTTCGTCATTTTCATTGTCTTCTCCTTCTCCTGCATCATCTTTGTTGTCCGCTTTATTGTTGTCATTTTCTTCTTCTGCATCATCATCTTCCTCCTCTTCGTCTCCTCCCCCTCCCCCTCCTCCGCCTCTTGTCCCCATAACTCTCTGGGCAGTTTACAAAGAATGTATAAAACAAAACAAAACAATGCAAATCCAATACAAATAACATAAAACAAAAATGTTAAGATATTTTAAAATCAATTTCAAATAGTTTAAATACAGAAAAATTACAAGGAAAGACCTGGCAAGAAGAAGATTCACCAGGATAATGCTCTCTGGCCCCTGGATAGCCAAGGAGCTCTTTAAAGGCCTCCGCATAGACGACTGTTTCGACCTGACGCCAAAAAGATGGCGAATTCGGTGCCAGGTGTGCTGCAGCGTGGTCGTTCCAAAGATGGGGCGCCACCCCAGAAAAGCCCCCCCCCCGATTGCCACCCTCTGTGCCTCTCGTGGGGGTGGCTCCATGGAAGGCCCTCAAATTGGACTTGCTTCTCTGGGAAAGCCCGTCTCTTTGGCTCTCCTGGAAAGATCACGGGCAGGATCCAGCTGTGCGCAAGTAACGTTGCACTCGTGTCAGCCAGCTCTTGCGCAACATAACTAGCACTCAATAAGGCGCTGGGGGAAAGCAGAGGTCGCTGCTTTGCCCCAGCGACCTGGCGAGTGGGACTTCGGCGCTGCAGAGGGTGGCTTCCGTCCACAGCAGTGGCGTGGGGCCACAGCTGGACCGGCCCTGTGGCGGTGCTTCCCGCAGCTTCCCCCAGTGGCGCCACCTCTCTTGGGGAAAGATCCATCCGGTCTTCGAAGCACGTCTTCCCACCACGCGACGCCCGTTGCCTCTGAATATGAATTCCTGTGTTCTTCTTTGAGATCCGTTAATGTTGACAACGAAATAAGGCCAGTGCTTGGGGGGGGGGGGGGGAGGGGGAGGATGAAGCCGGCTGACGCGAGGCAGGGCTTGCCGTCACTAAATTTAGCACAATACAATTCGGAGACCAGAGTGGGTGGAGGAACGCTGGAAGGCGAGCTGCTTACGGTGCCTGCGCCCTGTTTTGCTGTCGGCGCGATCGAATAATCGCTTCTCTGCTATTTGGGCATTCTTGCTTGCTGAATGCCATTGTTCACCTCCAGGGAAAACACCCCACGGAATGAATAGAGGCTGCCTGTCCCTCGCTGGAAGCTTTTTCTGGTCGTGCGGGGCCATTTCCTCTGCTACATTTAGCAGCCACAGGCCGTGAGCCACTCTTGGCGTGAGCATCTGTGAAAATAATAAGGGGAGGAAAGCGCATCGAAGGCGGTGGAGCAACATGGAGGAGATGGCCTTGATCTGGAAGTGGGTCCAGCGAAGAAGCCCCTTCCCTTTGAAACAGAGAGATCTGCTCCCCTTCCTGTATCTCTTTGGAGAGAAAGGTGGAAAGGCGCCCTAGCAGCAGGACCCCAAAGTGCCTAGGGAGGACTCTGCCACGAATCACCAATTTTGCAGCACTCTGCGTATACTTTGGGGAGTCTTTCTATGTGAATATTCATGAGTAACCCTCTCTCCGTGAGAGGGTTAATCTTCCTTTGATCAGAGGATGTGGATTTCTCTTTAAAAGAATCTGAGCCTAAAAGGATGCCTAGACCAGCCTTATAACATGATTTTATTTATTCACTGATTTGCCTCTGCACATCTAAACAGATTCCAGAGTGGTGAATGATAAAAGTGAATAAGAATAAAAAACCATATTATGACACTTAAATACAGGCAGTCCCTGGGTTACGAATATCCGAGCCACAAACAATGTACACTTACGAACGAACTGCCATAAAGCCTATTAATTTAAAAATTCAAGTTGAAGCCCAGCTGTGGAAAACCACCCTGGCCAAAGGGGGGGCCTGCGTAGCATGCATTATTGATGCACCCCTGCAAGGGGGGTGCCCCCCCCCAGCATTTCCTTGGGGGCGCTGGTGAGTAAAAGGGAGGGCAGGAAGTAAGAGCGTAAGGAGTAGTAAGTGGAAGAGGGGAGTCCTGCTGGGTCAGAGCAAGGTTGGGGGGGGGGGACACGGTTCCATACATGCGTGGCCAGCAGTATTAAGAGTTAAGCCTGGGGCAGGTAGAACTATGCACCGTTCTTCCTGAGGGTCTTATCCTCCCAGCCCTTGCAGATGTGGAGGGCCAACTGTATGTGGAAGTGCTTCTTAAGTCCTTTATATGCATTTCATGTAAGTGATCTGACTTACGTAAAAATTCGACTTAAAGAGAGGCAGTGTGGTGTAGTGGTTAAGAGCGCGGGACTGGGACTCAGACGATCCGGGTTCGAGTCCCCGCTCAGCCATGGAGCCCACTGGGTGACTTTGGGCCAGGCCCAGACTCTCAGCCCAACCTGCCTCACAGGGTTGTTGTTGTGGGGATACGATGGAGGAGGAGATGTAAGCTGCCTTGAGCCCTTTGTCGGAAAAAGGCAGGATATGAATTGAAAAAGACAGACAGACAGACAGGCGTTCTCAAGAATGGAACTCATTCATAACCCAAGTACTGCCTGTAATTAAAACAACATATCGCAAAATTGTAACACCAATAAAATCAGGGCTGGTCAGTTGAGAAAGGTCTCTTGAAATGAAGAAGTCTCCAAGGGGCATCAGAAGCAATGCAGGGTTGGTGTTTGCCTGATCTCTGGAGACAGGGAATTCCGCAGAAACGGAGGCACCTCCCGGAAGGCTCTCTCTTGGGTGGCCTCCAGCCAGGCCATAAGCCGTGTGGATCCACCAGAAGCGTCCCATCCAGTGACCTCGGTGTCTGGGCTCAGTGACCACCACCAGTTATTACTTAACTTCTGTACCATCCACTTGCCAAAGAGCAGCTCTTATATGTGTAGGCCCACGGAGCTGGGAAGCAGGGAATCCAGTCCAGTAGGGAAGCCAAAGATCCCTGTGGAGTGCATTTTTCAAGTTTCCACATTCTTCATGGGCATGCACTTGGTCGGTCATCTTTTGGGGCAGCGGAGGAGGTTTCCTTCCTCGAGCTCAAAACCTGCGTGTCCCGAGATGATGGACCGTGACCAGTTTGGCCCTGCATTTGCTGCCATGAAACCATCCGGGGAAACGGTCAGATGAGCAAGCGCAAGAGCTGTCTGTGTTGGTGCCCATGTCTAACTGTGTATCGTCCCATGTTTGTCTGGAGTGATTCCCTTAAAGATGTGCATCATTCAGAGGTAGAAGTTTACGCAACGAAACGTGAATTTACAATTGAGAAAAAATGAATTGTAATTGTCTCTATCCGTAAGAGGATGATCTCTCATCTGAGCCCAGCTTACCCAAGTCATTAACTTTTCAGGGTGTTCCTTGTCCCTTGTCAAAACACCAACACACAGTTTAGGTCCCAGCGTATCATTTGCAAATGGTTATGCGCTGTAGGAAGCGGATGACTAATCTAAAAATGCGACCTGTTTCTCTTTAACACATGGACTATTCAAATACTGTTCCCGTTTATGAAAATACCCATTC